AGCTCTTCACAAGCTGCTGAGAAACGAGGTAAAAGCGGTCTAACTCCATACCAAGTGCCAGCACCAGTTTGTCCTGAAAACAGATCGCGGGGAAAGGGAGACTGACTTACTCGTACGGCGAAACTGAATTCAAAATTAGCCGCGAACGGCCCTTTGTAACTGCAAGCCTGCAATCGATGTTAATGAAACAAGGTGATATTTGTAGCCCCGCATAACGATGGCCCAGTGATCCAAGCAAATGAAAGACTGAAAAAGATGCCTGAAATGACCGTTTGAGGTCGGCAACAAGCTGAATGGCTAGCCGTTGTTTCAATCGCTCCAACTGTTCAGCCACATTTTTTATGTGCTCCACCTCCATGTACGGGCCAAAAAGCTGCAGAACATTTAAAACGGCCGGTAACTGCGACGCAATATCACTGTAGCGATGCTGATCAATCCAGGACCCTTGAAAAAAAGAAAAAAAAAAAAATGCGGAAGTGGTATACCGAAAAAGAATTGTAAAGCATACATACGCCAAAGCATTATGCGTGTTCTGCCTTTAAGAAAATGGATTAATTGCTTGTCAGCGAATCTGGTGTCTGTTTCGTTTCTCGTTCAACAACTGATCTTCTCCTCTCGTTATTTTGAGATATCGCTAGCGTATTTTTGTGCGTATGTTGACCAATACCATCTCGTTTCTTTCAAAACTGCCACTCTCAGATCACGATCAGAAATCTCATCGGTTAGAAGGCTTCATGCAAAAAGAAAAAAAAAAAATAATGCAAATAGTACCAAGTGAATAAACGCCGGTTAGGAGAATCTGGAGATGATGAAGTGTCTTGATGGATGCAATCAGATTTCGTTTTGCAACATCCAACTGCTTGATATCGCGTGTCATCTCCTGTACGACACTCTCCGAGGATCGTGTTTTCAAGCAAATTGCCCGAACGCGCTCCTCCAGATCCTCCATTGACGAATGAGCCTGAACAAATACAGATGAACTTTCAGAAGTTTTTTGCGCTAAAAAAAGAGGTCAAAATTGCAAAACTAATACTGCAGAAGTTTTTAAGGAAGCAAGCAGAAAACGCGATAACCTCCAGCCGGCAAAGGCAGCGAGTGACTTCCTTCTCGAGCTGACTTTAAGTTGACACCTTGATATATACCAGCATCAATTTACCATCGAAAAGACTGAACAGTCGTGTCCCACTGGTGCAACCGAACCCCCTCTACTCCAGGCATGAAAGCTGCTCTACCTGCGATTGTGTCAGCAAAAAAAAAGAATGAATTTGGAAAAAACAATGCCATGAGGAAAAATTTGCAGCTGAAAGTCTCTCAGTGATTGAAGAATTTCAAGTTATACAGCTGGCTCATCTTCAATCGGCCAGCTACCTCGCACAGAGCCTGATCTCCTTCGATGCCCGCTTCGCCATGCGTTTCGACCAGCTCGGCAAGTTGAGAATCCAAGCCAACAATCTCGTCCTCGATGGAACGCATCACCGTGTCCAGCTGCGACAACGACTGCTCCGTTGGAAATAGCCGATTGATCTGATCGATGACGTCCACGTCTGCACGGCACAGTTCACTGTGTCCGATACCGTCGATTGCCTGCGCAACCTGGAAATTGCCTGAAGCAGCTGCTAAGAAGCACATCCATCTTCATCTCTGCGCAAATCCTCTCCAAAATTAATAACACTACCTTGTCGCTGAATGTGATCTCATCTTCGTCAACCTCCAAACCGGTGCTTTTCTTCACTTCTGCACTCCCGTCGCTAACCTCAGCCATCGCCCACAGCCAATCTCTATTTCTAAATAAGCCAATTTAAAGAAAAATTAAAAGTCCCTGCGCAAAAATAATGAATATATATTTCTCGCCTGAACGGTATGGCAGAAAGCAAAAAGCTGTTTGAGTTGCGCTCGCCTTGCCGACAATCGATGGACGCTGTGAGTAGTACCCGAACGACTGAACGGCCGCCAAACAAATGGCGTATGTACACCAAACACGCTGGAAGTGCGCAACGGACTCACCCAATAACAACAGTGAAATGCAACTGGCCATATCGGCTCCATGTAATCCCAGATAATTTTTATGCGTTTTTGCATATTATGCAAATGCAAATGCGCATACTGCCAAGGGGTTTGCTTGTCTGTTTGTATTTTATCAGTCGCTTTCAACTTGAAAAGCAGAGAAGCTAGAAAGCTGAAACTTCTGCAGCATGTCCCCTCTCCCCCATTTTAATATTATCATTCACGTATGGTTCGGGGTCATGTACGAACGTCTTAAAAATTCGTAAATCTCTGCAAACATGAGCACACCAGTAAGCCTGGTGCGTCGCTGTCTGAAATCTGAGCAGTTTGGAGATTGATTAGTATTTCAAGGCGTTTGCTGTAGGGGCCGAGAAGAAGAGCTGGGCTGGTCGTGTGGCAGGAACGATAATCAATGAATTAAGGAAGGGGTCCACAAGATTACCGCTTAATTTCATAGGAGTTGCACGCTCAGGCATGTCATCGATGCGTATCTCTCCACTGTGTAACATTTGTAAGCCTACGTATGCCAGAAAAAGAAAGCGATAAACGTGAGCCAAAACAGTAAGTTGCGGGAATTCATTAAAAAGCTCCATTGAGAGTTACACGAATGGTGCTCATGCACTATCCAGCAGCACACTTCTTCCTTCCATCACACGACCAAGCCAACCGAGAGAGTATCTACGCCACGCAGGCATTAAACCCACCCGTCCTTCATTGCCATGAACGAAACCTGAAGCACACCACCTCCCCCCTTCTCCGTTCCACTTGCCACATTCGAATCTCCGCCACTCACCGTGGGGCAGCTCTATGCGCCATCAACAAGAAAAAATACTTCGCAATTCGTGTACGGTGCCGGCCGAACCGAGGTTTAGTGATTGCCCATTTAAAATGGAATGAAGACTAGAACGGGAAAGGCATTATTATTCAAACGCTAAAAGGAAAATATCAGAAGAAATAAATACTAACGCGCACCAGACTAGCCGGTGCGATCATACGTTTTGTGCAATTCAGCCCATCGAACGATTGTCTATTAATGATTTTCACTGCTTTCTACTTCTATCTATGCAAAAATAGTTCAAATGGTTATTCACGCACCAGCGCAAGAAAGCTGAATTCGAAACCTTGAAGGGTGAATATCTTTCCGTGATTCCCTAGTTAATAGTTTAGCCGCCAAAATTCTCAGGCCGTAGGTGATACTCAACAGCGAAGAAACGCTGAATTTGAATGGGCAAGGTTGAGCATGGACAGGGGGTCATTACCCTAAAATTTCAGCTTCCCATACCCCGTGGTTCCCGAGATAATAATTTACCCGTAAAAATTTTCACTAGCCCTTAGTTGATAACCGAGAGCGCGGGAACGCTGAATTTGAATGGGCAAAGTTGAGCGTGGACAGGACGTCATTACCCCAAAATTTCAGCCTCCTAGACTCCGTGGTTCCTGAGATATTGATTTACCCGTAAAAAAATTTCTCGGAGCCGTACTTGTTACCCGCGGGTACGGGAAGGCTGAATTTAAATTTGCCGCGTCACCCATTGGCGGGGAACGCTATACCAAAATTTCAGCCGCCTAGCTTTTGTGGTACCCGAGTTGAAAGTGCGGGACAAAATGTGGGACATACACATAAACACACACACACAGACAACTCCGTGACAATATGCGTTTTGTAACGCTGTTACACAGCACAAAACGCATAAAAACAATGAAAAGGAGGAAAAGGATATTAAAATAGGTAAGGGGTCTAAAGAAATATTTGTTATAGGTAAGAAATGTTTCGGTCCATTAAGTCGTATACATTTCTTACCGTTACCACAATTGGAGCTCGTCAGTACGACGATTGTGGTAACAAAATAATTGAGTGAGGTGTATAAATTAATTAAGATAAAAAGATGTAAATGAGAAGAAATAGTAGGAGG